CGCCGTCCCCAACCTCCGAACCCACAACTCAGCTGCGCGGCGCAACGCAGCACCCAGCAGTTTTAAAATCCTGGGCCATGACGTTACGTCACGCCCAGGCGTCTCCCCGCCCACCGGTTTGAGCACGCCGTGCAAGGCAGCAGCAGCCAGCAAGGGGGCGCTCAGTTGGGCGCATGGGGGGGGGGGTTTGCTCCAGCTCCAAATATTGGTGGAGCATGGGCACCACGAGCACACACAACTCGCCGCCCATTCCTCTGCTGGCTAGCTGGCTCTCTCTCTCTTTCAGAGGGGGCTCCTCGCGGAACCCCTAGTTTTGCTTCGTGGAACCCCAGGGTTCCCCGGAGGACCAATTGGGAAACACTGCTGTAGGAGTTTGGAGTGGGGACATCAAACAAAGGATAAGAGATGCAAAATATACCTGGATGCTCCATGGATGATTGATAATCAGATCATTTCCTACAACATACCTTTTACAAATGTAATAGAATTTATTAGCAAATTTGGAAAACCACAAAGATAGGAGATTAATTGATACATAATCTTAACTGGAGTAGCAAAATAATCTCTTTTCCATGTCATTTTAATTAAATATACAGCAAATTTACAACCAGCAATAGACTCATTAAAATGAGGTATTTCCATTCTTTTAAAAATACAGTATTTTACAGTAAAGTGCATAATAAAATGGAATTAATCTCATTTTAATGTAATATCAAATGTAAACTAGTCAACCGACATTCATTACTTGTGTTATTGTTTACATCTTTATACTGTGGATGATTTTATAGTGTGTATTGTTTTGAATACAAGTATATGTTAAATAAAGGATATGAGGCTGTAGTAAAATAAAAATCCATTTAAGCAGACTTTTTTAGTCCATGTCAGTATCTCCTCTGCAGTCGTGATAGAGTATCAGCTGACATACTCCGATAACTTCGCATGGCTAATGGAGGGTCCACAGAAGGGGAGGATGCAGATTGCTGAATCTTCTATAACAAATTGAAGAATAATGCTTTTACATGTGTAACATACTGCTGAGGATACCCTGAGCTGTGAGCTACTGTGTTATCCCTCTGCTTCAGCAAGAGTGAGTATTGCTGGCTATTAGACTGTGTGTCAGCTCCCTGCTATACAATCTGTCTCCTCACGAGCAAACTCTTCAAGGTTATCCTAGCCTAAACCTTGCCTACCAGGTAGAAATCAGTGAACTCTAGCCACTGAGCTCCTCAGAGATGTTTCTCAGCAATACCCAGTCCCTACCAGTGCGCATTCACAGAAGATATTAAATGTGCTGCTCTGTTAAAGAGTCAATCACATCTTATTAATTTAACTGGGGTAAATAAAACCTTCCCTTGAAATACAAATAAAAGACAAAACATGCATCTAAAAGTCAAATGTAACCTAACAAGATACAGTCTTTGTTCAAGATGGCTTCTCTAACCACCCCTCATCTGGTCAGGATCCATCTCAAAGCTTAAATCACTTAGCTCTGGTCTACACTAGGACTTTATTTCAAAATAACCCCCCTAAGGTTGAATTTATAAGTAGAGCATCCACACTACGAAGCCCATTATTTCGAAAAAAAAACCCGAACCCAAGCCATTTAATTTGAAATCTGAACTGCTTTTCATCGGGAGTAATGCTAATTCCAAAACAGTTATTTTGAAATAACGGTAGCGTGGACACTCCGGTGTAGCTATCTCAAAATACTCTCCAGAGTAATTGAAACTAATTACTCCCCAGTGCTTCCTGGGCTCTAAGTCTGAGGTAGCATGTCCACAATAACAGAGCCTGCCTCAGACTAATTTCAAGGCTTCCTTGTAGTGTGGACATGCTCGTTCGATTTTGTTAACTCAGGAGTTATTAATTAGGATTTACTAATTTTGAAATAGTTTCCTAGTATAGATATGCCCTTAGTTTCTTTGTCTCCTTAAGGTGAAGGTGCAAGACGGAGTCTCTCTCTCTTCCTTATATCCCCAAAGAGTCTGTTCTTGTTTTACAAGACAGGGAGCCCTCCTGTGGATTTTCTCTCCTGACCCTGATCTACTGGAGTGAAGGAGTCATGTTCATTGTCTGTCTCTTGAGATCAAGATCAGGATAACGCACTGGTTTAGCCTGATAGCTTTATTTACTGTTAATATGCAAATTGAGGTAAACCCACATGCCTCTGTCTAGGACAGACCTGTTTATCACCTTTATCTTGGCTAGGCTTCCGTGTCTTAAATAGATTCTAGGAAATCACACACAGAGAATTCATAATATCACATATGAAATTAACACATGTGCTTTAGATATAATATTAATGTCCAGTGTGTTACTAGCTTTCATACGATACAGGCAGTCCCCGGGTTACATGGATCCGACTTACATCCGGCTCCCCACTTATGTAAATGAAGCCTGGGAAATTCAAATCCCGGGCTTCATTTGCAAGTGCGGTATGCCTACATTACCTTCCTAGTTCGAACTCGTAGGGTAGTGTAGACATACCCTGAGGGAAGTGAGGTGTGGGAGAATAAAACTGAGCTCTGGAGAAATGTTTGGCTAGAGTTTCCCCTACAATATGTACCAGTTCCGACTTACATACAAATTCAACTTAAGAACAAACCTACAGTCCCTATCTTGTACGTAACCCGGGGACTGCCTGTACTTCACAAGGCATATTTTGTACAAATATTGCAGGCACATGTAAGTTATGAATACAGGGGTGCCTAGGGTCAATATGACAATTTGTATTTTATGGTGTTTAATATAAACCAAAGAAACATTGTTTGACAGTATCATGTGATCTTCTGTTTTGAGCTACATAAAAATTGTATCTCTATATCATGAATTGGGCTTTGAGTCTGCAAGGTGCTGAGTCCCTCCTTTGAGATACTGAATGACCCCATCAATGGAAACTGAAGGAGACAGAACTTTACCACAGACTTCCATTGAGCAGGAGTTAATGTGTAAACTCTCTGCAGCTGAGAATATGCCTTATTATATAATTTGCATACAAAATCACACCAGTATCCTTGGTATTTATCTCTTTGGTACAGGAGGACGGAAGGGAAGGATACTCACCTCTGCAGTGACTGGAGTTTCTTCAAGACGGTTGTCCCCGTGGGTGCTCCACCTTAGGTGTAGTATCAGCATTGCTGCGCCAGCTGGAGATTTGTATTAGCAGTGCCCTGGCTGGCAGCACACGTGGAGTGCCAGCACGAGTATTCTGAATGCGCTACTCTGCATGCACAGCCAGCTGCCTTCTGTTCCTTCTGTGACCTGGATACCTGTGAATCCAAGTCGAGGGGAGGAAGGATGGGTGGTGGAGTACCCACAGGGACAACCAACTCAAAGAACTCTAGTCACTGCACAGGTGAGTAACCTTCCTTTCTTCTTTGAGGGCCCCTGTGGGTACTCCACCTTAGGTGATTATAAAGCAGTGATTGTGTTAGGAGGCGGGAGCTTCGGAGTGTATGAGTCTTTAATCGAGTGTACTGTTTGGCCAAACTTCGTTTCAGAGTCTGCGAATGTCTGGATGGTATAGTGCTGAGTGAATATATGCATAGATGCCCATGTGGCGGCCTTGCATATTTGTTTAGTTGAAATGCCTCTTAGGAATGCGGTTGTGGCTTCCATGGCTCTTGTGGAGTGAGCTCTAATATAGGGAAGTGGCTCCTTCTGTGCTAATTTGTATGCTAAGCGTATGCAGTTCGATACCCATTTCAATAATCTTTGTTTTTATATGGGTAATCCTTGTGACCTTTCTGTTGTTGAGATAAACAATTGTGGAGATTTTCGGAAAGGTTTTGTGCACTGTAAGTAAAATGAGAGTGCCCTGTGGATGTCCAAGGTATGTAACGCTTCCTCTTTTTGGTCTTTATGATGTTTCGGGTAGAAAACAGGTAAGTCTATTGGTTCGTTGCAATGGAATAAGGTAAGTATTTTCGGTCTAAATTTTGGGTGTTTTCTCAAGACTACTTTGTCTTTGTGGAATGTTGTATATGGCGGGTCCAACATGAGGGCCCCCCAACTCTCCTATGTGCCTTGCAGAAGTAACTGCAACAAGGAATGCCACCTTCACTGAGAGGTGTAACAAAGAACATGTAGCTAATGACTCAAAGGATCTGCCCATGAGCCTTGTCAGTTCGAGATTTAAGTTCCATGCAGGCATTGGGTTCTTAAGTGGTGGATACATGTTTTGTAGGCTGTTCAGGAACCTTTTTACAGCAGGATTGGTAAAGACTGATTGTGATTGCAGTGGGGGATGGAGGGCAGAAACAGAAGTTAGGTGTACTCTTATAGAGCTCATGGAGAGTCCTGCCTCATGCAGGTGCAACAAGTACTGTAGTATATGTGTTAACTGTGTGTGCTGTGCTTCATAATTATGGATAGAGAGCCACATTGTAAAACGCTTCCATTTTTGTGTATATTTTTCTTGTGGCACTCTCTTAAGTAGAGCATGTTCCATGCTGTCTAATCAGCCAGCATCCAGGCTTGGAGATGTAGAGTTTGTATATTGGGATGGTGAATCCAACTGTTGCATTGAGAGAGCAGAACTCAAACTGGTAGGAAGCAGTGTGGTGGATGGATGCTCATCTGTAGCTGTTATGAACACCATGTTTGCCTGGGCCAGTTGGGTGCTATGAGGATCACTCTGGCCCTGTCTTGTTTAACCTTGAGAATTACTCATTGGAGCAGAGGGAGCAGAGGGAATGTGTAGTGCAGGTGTGTTTTCCACTGTATGGTGAAGGCATCTCCTAGTGAGCTGTTCCCTATGCCCGCTCTGGAGCAGTACTGTGGGCAACGGGCATTGTGTTGTGTGGCAAATAGGTCTACGATGGTAACCCCCACTTCTTGAAAAGGAAGGTTAGCACTGAAGTGTTTATTTTCCACTTGTGTTTTTGGGGAAACTGCCTGCTTAGGGCATCTGCTAGTGTTTTGTCTTTGCCTGGGAGGTAAGTTGTGATGAGGTGTTTGTTTCTTGGGATATACCATTCCCATAATTGGACTGCTTCTTAGCACAGCTCGTAAGATCTGGCCCCTTCCTGCCTGTTGATATAGCATATTGTAGTTACGTTGTCCATAAGGATCTGTACAGTTCTGTTTTGAATGAGAGGAAGGAAGTGCGTACATGTGTGTCTGTTGGGAAGCAACCCAGGGACTCACCCCGCTGAGGGGTGGCTCGCCCACGAGTCGGTTCCCACTTTACTCTAGCCCCGAGATGGAGAGGGCGCCATGACGGCAGGGCCAATGCCCCCTTTCCACGTTCCCCGTCACTGGGTGAACTTCCCCCCTATTGGAGTTACTTCAGTCACCCCGACCAGACCTCTGGCTCGATCCCAGGGTCCCCCATGTACTCTGACCACTCATCCATGCCTCTTGGCCACCCTTGGCGACTCTCAGGGTCCCCAGTTCGGCCCTATGAACAGTATACTTGCAGTAATTAGTCCATCAGTTAACAAGCCCGCCTTTCACCGCAGACTCTGCCACACTGCTAGCTGGCGGCAGGGAGGCGGGAGGGGAGAGGTGGGTAGGGGGACCCGGGCTCTCCCACTCCTCCAGGTCCCAACCCAGGGCCCTGTTGGCAATGGACACTTCCACTGCCTGCTCAGCGGGGCATCCTGCAGAAACACGCTAAGCTCCCAGAGGGACAAACCTCTGCCCTGAGCCGCTTCCTATGGTCCCTGATGTCGGGGCTGTCGTTGAGGCTGCATTGGAGAAAACAGGTAAGTCTATTGGTTCGTTGCAATGGAATAAGGTAAGTATTTTCGGTCTAAATTTTGGGTGTTTTCTCAAGACTACTTTGTCTTTGTGGAATGTTGTATATGGCGGGTCCAACATGAGGGCCCCCCAACTCTCCTATGTGCCTTGCAGAAGTAACTGCAACAAGGAATGCCACCTTCACTGAGAGGTGTAACAAAGAACATGTAGCTAATGACTCAAAGGATCTGCCCATGAGCCTTGTCAGTTCGAGATTTAAGTTCCATGCAGGCATTGGGTTCTTAAGTGGTGGATACATGTTTTGTAGGCTGTTCAGGAACCTTTTTACAGCAGGATTGGTAAAGACTGATTGTGATTGCAGTGGGGGATGGAGGGCAGAAACAGAAGTTAGGTGTACTCTTATAGAGCTCATGGAGAGTCCTGCCTCATGCAGGTGCAACAAGTACTGTAGTATATGTGTTAACTGTGTGTGCTGTGCTTCATAATTATGGATAGAGAGCCACATTGTAAAACGCTTCCATTTTTGTGTATATTTTTCTTGTGGCACTCTCTTAAGTAGAGCATGTTCCATGCTGTCTAATCAGCCAGCATCCAGGCTTGGAGATGTAGAGTTTGTATATTGGGATGGTGAATCCAACTGTTGCATTGAGAGAGCAGAACTCAAACTGGTAGGAAGCAGTGTGGTGGATGGATGCTCATCTGTAGCTGTTATGAACACCATGTTTGCCTGGGCCAGTTGGGTGCTATGAGGATCACTCTGGCCCTGTCTTGTTTAACCTTGAGAATTACTCATTGGAGCAGAGGGAGCAGAGGGAATGTGTAGTGCAGGTGTGTTTTCCACTGTATGGTGAAGGCATCTCCTAGTGAGCTGTTCCCTATGCCCGCTCTGGAGCAGTACTGTGGGCAACGGGCATTGTGTTGTGTGGCAAATAGGTCTACGATGGTAACCCCCACTTCTTGAAAAGGAAGGTTAGCACTGAAGTGTTTATTTTCCACTTGTGTTTTTGGGGAAACTGCCTGCTTAGGGCATCTGCTAGTGTTTTGTCTTTGCCTGGGAGGTAAGTTGTGATGAGGTGTTTGTTTCTTGGGATATACCATTCCCATAATTGGACTGCTTCTTAGCACAGCTCGTAAGATCTGGCCCCTTCCTGCCTGTTGATATAGCATATTGTAGTTACGTTGTCCATAAGGATCTGTACAGTTCTGTTTTGAATGAGAGGAAGGAAGTGCGTACATGTGTGTCTGTTGGGAAGCAACCCAGGGACTCACCCCGCTGAGGGGTGGCTCGCCCACGAGTCGGTTCCCACTTTACTCTAGCCCCGAGATGGAGAGGGCGCCATGACGGCAGGGCCAATGCCCCCTTTCCACGTTCCCCGTCACTGGGTGAACTTCCCCCCTATTGGAGTTACTTCAGTCACCCCGACCAGACCTCTGGCTCGATCCCAGGGTCCCCCATGTACTCTGACCACTCATCCATGCCTCTTGGCCACCCTTGGCGACTCTCAGGGTCCCCAGTTCGGCCCTATGAACAGTATACTTGCAGTAATTAGTCCATCAGTTAACAAGCCCGCCTTTCACCGCAGACTCTGCCACACTGCTAGCTGGCGGCAGGGAGGCGGGAGGGGAGAGGTGGGTAGGGGGACCCGGGCTCTCCCACTCCTCCAGGTCCCAACCCAGGGCCCTGTTGGCAATGGACACTTCACCCACCAACCACTTGGGCACTTGTGCCTCCCTGGGCCGCTTCCTACCCACGTCAAGGCTCACCACTCTTCTCCCCTTCCATTGGCTGTCCTCTCTCCGACAGGTCATGCCTGGTGGCATCTGCAGGCCCTCCTGGCGTCTGGATGGCTGGGGTAGCTCCAGGGATTGGAGCGCATATTTCTGGCCCTCTTCTGGCCCTGGCCCCTCCAGGGCCAACCACAACCTGCTCGACCACAGGTTACTGAGGGTGGGACATTCCCATCCTCCATCGGGCAAGCTGGTGTCCTCCCGGTCAGCGGCCCGACTCCTTCTTCCTCTCCCTCACTCGCTCCACCGCCAGCATTTAAAATGCCTGGCACGCAGCTCGAGCATGAGCCACAGTAGCACAGGGGCAGCTGACCACACTGCTCTGCTGCAGCTCCGACCTGGTGGCGGGGCCATTGCACCCCATTACGGTGCCTTACTGCCCTGAGTTTAAGCAGACTGATGTGTTTCCCTCTGTCTTGCTTGGTCCATTGAGCCTGAACTTTGTGTTGACCCAGGTGAGTGCCCCATTCCATCATTGAGGCATCCGTAGTGATTGTTACTGATAGTGGCGCTCTTTGGAAGGGGATTCCAACACATATATGATCCACTAAGGGAGGGAAGTCTTTATCTTGTTTGATATGGCGATTTGTTTATGTGATGGATGCGTGGCTAGTACACCGTGCGGAGCCATGCTTGTAGATGTCTCATGTGGAGACAGGAGTGTGGCACTATGAATGTTGCTGCTGCCATATGACCTAGAATTTGCAGGCAGTGTCTGGCTGTTATCACTGGGCTGAACTGCGCCCTTGAAATCAGTTGTTTTATTGCTGTGAACCTG